CCCCTCAGAGCCCCTGTGGGAGCCTTAGCCAATGGCCTGGCGACCGCACTGAGCCAAGCAAGGCTCAGACCTCAGACCAAGTTGCATATGAAGCTTTGCCTGTGTAGAGGTGGTGCCAGCGCCTCACGGGGACCCATTCCTGCTGGACACACTATACATCTGGGATCCTAGTGCTCACCTGCCATAGCCACCACCACCCTCAGTCCCTTTCTCTCCATCACAGATTTCTGGCATCAGAAAAACACTGACTACAACAACAGCCCTTTCCACATTTCTCAGTGCTTTGTGCTCAAACTCAGCGACCTGCAGTCAGTCAATGTTGGCCTTTTTGACCAGCACTTCCGGCTGACGGGTGAGTAACCCTCTGTGCTTTGTCCCATTCTGGGTGAAGGCCAGTGGGCTTCCACCTTCCACATGTGGGGACATTATCATAGACAGAGTTATCTCCCTGCTTACAGGCCAGTCAGCTGAGTGGGAGGAAGCAGCTTCAGGAACTGCTGAGATTGCAGGACTCACACCACAGGACTCTGGGCAGGAGGTGGGGTGTGCAGTTAGCACCAGACCAGGGGCAGAGCGGGCCCTAGGCTCAGGCAGGATGTTTCTGACTCACATTTCCTGAAGAGAGAAAGCTGTGTTCTTTCCCTAATGCCTATGGACCCCCTTCCAGAAAAATGTCTCAGCCCTTCCTGTCTGAGAAATGGCGGCCTTTCCAGACCCCATGATGCTCTCCACATAGCCCTGCTGGCTTTCTGGGGCAGAGACCTGGTCAGAGAGGTAGTCAGAGAACTGTGGCCGTGACCAGCCCCTTCTCCCGCAGGCTCCGCCCCGGCACAGGTGGTCACATGCCTGACTCGGGACAGCTACCTGACGCACTGCTTCCTCCAGCACCTCATGCTTGTGCTCTCCTCACTGGAGCGCACGCCTTCTCCTGAGCCTGCTGACAAGGACTTCTACTCAGAGTTTGGGGACAAGACCACAGGTACCCTGTCCAGCTCAGACCACAGACCCCACAGACCAGCACCTCTCTCTGCCCCACAGCCCTCCTCCTCTGCCTCTTTTTCTCTTGCCTCACTTAGCTGGCCAGAATGTGACACAGGGCTTTTCTGTGGCAGTTTCCATCCTAACCATCCTTCAGGCATCCATGCATCTCAAGTGTCAGCCCTAGGCTTCTGGCTTGGGGCCCTTGCTTGGGTGGCTTAGGACCGCTGGTGCTTCCAGCCCCACCACAGGCCAATGACAGTCTATAGCCCTGGTGGCATCTTTCTCTGCAGGAAAGATGGAGAACTACGAGCTGATCCACTCAAGTCGTGTCAAGTTCACCTACCCCAGCGAGGAGGAAGTTGGGGACCTAACGTACATCGTGGCCCAGAAAACAACTGATCCAGAGAAAGCCCCAGCCCCCAGTATCCTGCTGTATGTACAGGCCTTCCAGGTGGACCTACCGCCACCTGGGAGCTGCCGGGGCCCACTGCGCCCCAAGACACTCCTGCTCACCAGCACGGAGATCTTTCTCCTGGATGAAGACTATATCCACTACCCACTGCCTGAGTTTGCCAAAGAGCCACCACAGAGGGACAGGTACCGGCTGGGTGATGGCCACCGTGTCCGGGACTTGGACCGAGTTCTCATGGGCTACCAGCCCTACCCACAGGCCCTTACCCTTGTCTTTGATGACATGCAGGGCCACGACCTCATGGGCAGCGTCACCCTGGACCATTTCGGAGAGATGCAGAGTGGTTCTGCCAGGGCTGGCCAGGGCCGTGAGATCCAGTGGCAGATTTTTGTCCCCAGCGCCGAGAGCCGAGAGAAGCTCATTTCACTGTTGGCCCGTCAGTGGGAGGCCCTGTGCGGCCGGGAGCTGCCTGTTGAGCTTACTGGCTAGCTCACCTGCCATGTCTAGCCTGGTGCCTACTCAGAGCAGGGAAGCAGGCTTTCTTTGTTCTCTTAAAAGTGTTTTCTCCCCTCCTTTTTGGTACCTTAATTTGACAGTCCCTACAGAGAATGTGAATGTGTGTGTTTAGTTAATGCTTTCCAGTGCTGGGAGTGAGGATGCCGGGCCCCTCCCGGAGTCTGTGGGCCATCAGCCTCCTGGAGTGAATGGCCAGGCCTACCAGCATCGTGCCCGTCGTTGTGTGCCATTGTTAACTTATGCAGCTGTGGATCTGATCAACTCCCCCTGTCTTTTGTTGCTGTGGCTGTCATTGTGGGCATTTTGCTGCTAATCATGAAGCTGGTAGCAGAGCACACGTTGGAAGCTCCTGCCCCATGCGGCCTTTCAAAGTGGAGTCCTTGGGCCAGGTGTGGTGGCGCACGCCTGTAATCCCAGCACTTGGGAGGCTGAGCCAGGAGGATCACCAGGAGTTTGAGGCCACCCTGGGCTACATAGCAAGACCCTGTCTCAAAAAAAAGAGTCCTCCTGTGGTCCAAATAAGAGGGCAGCCCTGAAAGGGGCCAGAGTACCCCTGGCCTTGGGGCTGGGGTGGCAGGGAAGGGATGAGGGAATTTATAGCTGCTGGCACCAAGAGTGATTCCTGTTGCCTATTTTCTCTATTCCAATAAAATAGTTCGACGTGGTCTGGGTCTTATAAATCAAGGGTCACTTGGGTCCCAGCAGGACCTCAGCCAGGACATGATCAGCACGGGGCAGAGAGAGGGAGGGCAAGGAGTGGGGGCGGGGGAGTAACCCTCCAGGGGCCCGAAGCTTGTTGAGCCTGAGGGTGAGAGGGCACGTCTCTGGACAGGACCATGCTGACCTGTGGGTAAACCAGTGCCTGGGGCGAACCAGGAGAGTCCACAGAACTCAGGGCACCCTCAACACACCAGCCGACTGTCATCCGCTAGCTCCTCAGGTTGGCCTGCACCTGGGCCCCCCAAAGCAGCTGTTGTGAAGCTGAACCTGGATCTGGGGCTGCTGACGGGCACGGGGTGTCACTAAGATGGCCCTTGAGTAGCAGCAGGGGAGATGAGTCCTCTGCCTGTCCTAACTGTTCCTGTCAGAGATGGGGTTGCTTCAGGGCACTCCTGAGGGAAACCTGGGACTGGAGAGCCAACCTTCCTCCACCCATTCCTACCGAAGGAGCAGGACCAGGGCAGGGTAGGCTGGTTCCCCAGTCACACCTCAGCTGACCTGCTCAGGTGCCTCAGCCCCTGGGGTTGAGCTACAGATGAGCTGAGCTACTTTGGACAAGCTACCTAGCCCCTCTGAGCCTCGGTTTCCCTACCAGTAAGAGGGATAATGAAAGTAACCATCTTCGTTTACTCATTCCAGGTGCCTATGCTGTCGGTCAGCCAGGTGCCACCACTGAGCTCCCACAGCTAGCATTCCAGGCTCGAGTAGACAAAATTAAAGTGGGCACAGTGGTGCAGCTACTCAGTGTTACAAATGGCGTACGAGAGGCCACTCCAACAAAGACCTTATGAAAGAAAAGGCTTTATCCCTGTCTGGGTGTGAGCAGAGACTGAAGTCGGGGAAGATTTCAGCAGCTAGCTAAGAGGGACAGGCTTTATGTAAGAAGGCTGGATTTATTGGTCTGGATGCAGACAGGGCTGAGATTCTGAATGATTTCATCCACTAGCTGAGAGAAAAATTAAGTTCATCTAGGATTGGGAAGGGACTAAGGGATCTGGAGTGGAATGTTATCATTGAGGGACCAAGGACAGTCAGCACAGGTGTGCATATAATACTGAACTCTGTTGCCGAGGAGATTGTATACTCTGTCCTAAGTTTTTTTTATAGCCATCTGTTCTGTTCACTCTTCTGGCTACTGAGTAGCCTCTTGTTTGCTAACGGCATGTTTGCTGTGAAGGTTTCTTAACAGGCCAGGCATGACACTCAGGAGGCTAAGGCAGAAGAATCACAAGTTTGAGGCCTGCCTGGGCAATTTAGCAAAACCCTATCTCAAAATAATACATATATAATAAACACTAATCTGCCATAGAGAAAGATAAACTTGAAGCTGGGGTAGTAGTTCATACCTATATCCTAGCACTGGGGAGGCTGAGGCAGGAGGATCGCCATGCATTCATAGCCAGCCTAAACTACAAAGTGAGACCCTGTCTCAAAACAAACAAATGAAAGATAAACTTGAGTCATTTGTAGGAAAATGGATGCACCTTGAGACCATAATGTTAAGTGAAATAAAGCAGGCACACAAATACCACATATTCTCTTATATGAGAAATGCAAATTTTAAATAGCCAAATAAAAGATAATAAGCAGGAAGAGCCACGTGTGGTGTCACATGCCTGTAATCCCAGCACTTGGGAGGCAGAGGCAGGAGGATTGCTGTGAGTTCAAGGCCAGCCTGGGCTACATAGTGAGTTCAAGGCCAGCCTGAACTGCAAAGGAAGACCCTGTCTCAAAAAACCAAAAAAAATTTTTTTAATTAAAAAAATAAAAGAAGTAGGAAGATAGAACTTTCTCAAATGGAAGGGGATCCAGAGATGGAGGGAAGGGAGGGAAAGGAGGTTTTAAAAGGGAATTAAGATGTGAGATTGTATATATTTATATTTGGGTGGGGTACTAGACATCAAACCCAGGGCCTCTATATCCCCCGCCTCTTTAGATTTTGAGAGGTTATTGCCCATGCTAAGCTTCAACTTGTGATCCTCCTGCGTCAGCGTCCTAGAGTGCTGGGATTACAAGGGATGCACTACCACGTCCAGCTCAAAATAATGTTTGTGTGTGTGTGTGCGCACACGCACGCATGGGCTGCTGGGTCTTTGTCCTGCCTGAGCTATGTATCCAACCCTTTTTTCAATTTTTTTTTTTGGTACTGGGAATCGAACTCAGGGTCTCACACTTGCCAGACAGGTACTATGCCGCTGAGCTGCATCCCTGGCTCTTTTTAGAGTCAAGGCCTCACTAAGTTGCCCAGCAGAGCTCAAATTTGCAGTCCTGCTGCCTCAGCCTTCCACAGTACTGGAACTGTAGGCGTGTGCCACCACTCCTGGCTTCAAAATAAATCTTTTTTTTTTTTGGTTTAAGAGAGGATCTCATTATGTAGTTCAGGCTGGCCTTGAACTAACAGCAGTCCTCCTATCTCAGTCTCACAAGTGCTGGGATTATAGGCATGGGACACCAAGCCTGGCCAAAATAAAATATTTTTTAAAGGGTGGGAATACACCTTAGTGGTAGAGCACCGCTAGGTTCAGTCCTCAGTGTCTGGGGGCCAGGATAAATAAGTCAGCACCAGCTGGTGGCCAGTGCTAATAGAGGTAAAGTCAGGTGGCATCACCCTGCCTGCAGCACAGGAACTCAACTGGTGACCTTTGTTAAAAGAAAAAGACCTGGGCTGGGGATGTGGCTCAATGATAACACCATAAAAAGGAAAAGAAAAATCATAGGCAAATTGAGTTTTAAAAAGTTTATTTGAGCAAAGAAAACAATTCTCAAATCAGGGCACCCTCAGAACCAAACAGGTTCTAAGAACTGGAGCTAGCAAATTAGGCAGCACTTAATTTGCCTAATTAAGAAGACCGGAGTGAGGTATAGAGACAGTGCAAGTGGTGGCAGCTTAATTAATCTGTCAGCTGGTTACAGAGCCCACGAGTGCCTGCTGCTCGTGCTGTGATTGAACTCCATGCTGACCAGACCTGCTGGGCTAGTGCAGGAACTCGCTCCAAACCAAGGCTGCCTACGCTTTTCTTTAACACCTCTGACCTGAGACTGCATTTGTGAGAAGGTGCCTTTGTGGGACTGGGGTAACAGCTGCTGCTATTGTAGCCAGCTAAGTTAATTAGATATTTATAGGCAGTTAGACAGGGCTGGGCCTCTAGAGTGTCAATACAAACGACAACTGAGGCACATTTACTAAAGGCCAGGATTCAAAAAAGAGGACCATTACACTCACATCCCCTAGGGATAAACAGCAGTGATTGATATTCTAAATAGGCATCAATCACCTTGGGTGGGCTCAAAACCATTCCTTCCCGGAAATCTTGGCTACATGACTTGCTCTCTCATTTGATCCCCATTTAATCAATATTACCAGTTATGGCTTGTGTTTAGATGTCCCCCCAAAGCCTCATGCGAATGAGGTGGGGCTATTTTATATATGTGCTGCTGAAATGAGCACAAGGTGAGGCTATTTGGGAGGTGGCTGAATCTAGAGTGTAAGATGTCTGAATTAGGGGTGTGTGATTACTAAACCACTACACATGAGCGATAGGTTTGGCACCACCCAATCCCAGTGGTCTGAATAAAATAAAAGGAGCAGGAAGACGCCATCAAGCTCTCTTGTGGCCTTTGCTAACTTCCACCGCTGTGAACTGTTGCCCCTCTGCCATGTGCACCCTGCTTGGAGCCAGTCGATTATGGACTGAAAACTCTACAAACTGTGAGCTAAATAAACCTTTCCCCCTTTAACTCTGGGTGTCAGGTATTTTGTCTCAACAATGAGAGAAAAGTAATACATTACCTAAGTAACTATATACTTATAATTTTATTGGTTGACCATAGTTTTGTCCCACCTCATACCCATTTTGTGATTTTCCACTGGATCTTATTAATTGACTGTAGTTTTGTCCCACTTTGTACCTGCCTCGTTTCATGGCTTTGTCCCATGACAGTACCCTAAGAAGTGGGGTCCTGGGCAACCCACTTTCTGGGTGTCCTCTCCTGTCCCTCTCAGGCGGGAGCTGTCTTCCCCTCAATAAATATTCCCTACTCTTAAACTCCATGGTTCCTAGAATTCATTCTTTAATTTTAGAGAACACGAATTAGGCATTTTGGATCTAACAGAGAGAGTTGTAATATTTTCCTTACATTATTTAATTAGAGGTCCTATATCATCCCTAGATCGTACACCCTATATCATTTGGAGGTCTTTCACTGAGATAATTGGAAGGAGGTAAGAGTTTGCTTTTGTTTCATATATTCTGGCTTTTGTCTTAAATTGTATATCATATATCTTAAGTTTTTGTCCATTGTTTGTTTGTCTTACAATGCATTGTCTTTTGTTAAAATAATGGTAAATTTATGTTATGTTTGGACTAGTTGCTAACTTTATTGGTGTTCCTTGATGACCTGCTTCACTCCTTTGACTGTTGTGGTTTGTTATCGCAAACGACAGTGCTAGGTAAATACTGTTAGAATGCCCTTAGTGGACTGTGATATAAAATTCTGTAAAATGGGGTTTTTTTTAAATGAAATTTAGATTATATTTAAGAAATATAAGGGCTGGAGATTTAGCTCAGTGGTTCTGCTGCCTGCCTCGAAAGCTCAAGCACCCGAGTTTGATCCCTGGTACAAAAAAAAAAGAAAAAGAAAAAAAAAAGAAATATACATACCTATTAATCATGAGACCCTATCCATCAATTAAAAGACGATTGGTTAGTGGCCTGGACTTGAGGGACAGGTTTCACTGGGACGGTCTGGCCCAATCCTTCTCTATACTCTAGAGAAAATGTTGAGCCTCTTCTGCTTCAGTTTCCTTTCTGGTCTGATCTTCCACTGGTGAGGAGACAATCGTAGCTCTTGAGATTCCCCATTCTCACCTTTCCAGGCTGAGAGTGACAACTCAGGAGTAAGTTGTCTCAGTAACTAATCATGAGCATGAGAAGAAAAGACCTTTCCTGGTCCAATTTCTGATCATTCCCTGCAACTTTACACTTTCTTTATAGAGGTATGTAAAATTAGAGAAAGGGAGGATCTCTGAAACTGCCCCAACTTTTCCAACTAAGGACCTTTAAGTTGAGCTCATAGAAAATGAACATTTGTTAATGCTGTAGACAGGGAAGTCATCTTAGATGAGGATTACATTTAGTTTACCCTATCTTACTCTCACCTCCTAGGTCTGGTTTTCATCATTTATATGTGTAGAGGAGGAAAATACTTTTCCTAACAAGTTGTGGGCTTTGAGACTTTTACTGTAAATGGGTAAAATGCTATGTAATGATTTTGGGGTTTTCTTTACATGGCTTATGTTTTTATTTGGACCTTCTCTCTGCTTGTGAGTTAGAAACTTCCCCCTAAACTTTTCTCAAACTCATTGGGAGTTAACTTTAAAACCACCTTGTAGTTAAACCACCCTTCCCTCCAAGTCAGGCCGAAGCAGCTTGTAACACCTGTTTTGTCTTTCGCAGAAACAACAATCAGTTAGCAACTTACACTTGTGTTTTTTATATGCTAACTAGAATAAAAAGGGATTCAGCCTTTGTTTTATGTGCATATAGAAAACTGTTAGATGGGCCCTTACTAACATGTGACTTGTGGTTGCTAGGTGATGAACATAAGTTTAACTTGTGAGTTTCAGATACCTAGTGATTTTAAAATGGACCTTGAATGATGAGTAGCCTTGTCTTGCCATTAAGGAAGGTTGCCTAAGTGAATTAGGTAGATAACAGAAATCTCTTAGAGGCTTTCCCACCCTAGGGCCCAGGGCAGAGTTTCTCCAAGCCATATACTTGATTCTGTCTCTTTCTAGAGGTGATCTCTTTTGCAGGATGAAAAGTGTGCTAATTTGCCTGTTGATCTATTTCCCTCACTCTCTTTCAAAGAACTAGGAAGCAGTGGTTTAGATCTCTTGATTATTGGCTTTGCTAGCAATGCTTCCTTCTGTAAACTTGATTGTTATAGCTAGAATTAACTGTAGCTTGCATTTTTAGAACCATCTGATAGAATTAGGAGTATAAGTTTCCTGGAGAAGATAGGGTCTCAAACTGGTATGGGTGTCTAGTCTGACCCCGATCAGTTTCCTCCAGATGGCAGCCACCTGCTCTGGAGTAAGTCACCTTGGAGATGCTTTAAGGAAATAAGAATCATAGGGCTGGGGATTTAGCTCAGTGGTTCCGGCGCCTGCCTTGAAACCACAAGGTCCCAAGTTTGATCCCCGGTACCAAACAAACAAACAAAAATAAGTATGCAAGGAAGTAAGAATCAACTGAGGATGTAGCTCAGTGGTGCTGTGCCTGCCTGGCAAGCACGAGGTCCTGAGTGTGATCCCTGGTTCCACAAAAAAAAAAGAAGAAGAAGAAGAAGAAGAAAGGAAATAGGAATCAAGTAGAAACTCACAGGGACGCCAATTTTTTCTCTTATTTCAGATGGGAAACCCAATGTCAAAACATCTTACTCCTTTGGAATGTATTCTTAAACATTAGAAAATGTGTGACTCTCACATACTGAGAAAGAGTGGTTTAGTATTTTTCTGCTATACCCATACATGGCCTACCTACCCTGCAGAGCCAAACTGGAATGCAGAGGGAAGTATTAATTATGATACTATTTCACAACTAGAATCATACTGTAAGAGGGAAAGTGTTCAAAATTGCCATATATTCAGACTTTCTTTGCATTAAGAAATACTTATCCAGGGCTGGGGATTTAGTTCAGTGGTTCTGCTGCCTGCTTCACAAGCACAAGGACCTGAGTTTGATCCCTGGTACCAAAAAAAAAAAGAAAAAGAAAAAGAAATAATTATCTGTGTTTAAAATGTAAATGTAAGCCACAGGAAACTCAGACACCTCTGGGCCCTTTCACTGAGGTTTCCCACTCTTGGCTTTTGGAACAAACACTGAGGGTGAGGTTTCCAAGGCAACCCTAACCAAAGCTCCACCTACTGTTACTGAGTTTAAGGCTTTCTCCAGTTGCCCTTTGGAGCCTGACATCCCTCCTCCTTACCCTTTAGAGTTTACAGATGAGGCTTCTAAGCCAGCCACAATTGAAGCCTCTACTGGACTAGGTCCATCTGTAGTTGGTTTTGTTCAAGCCCCTCAAGGATAATATCCCTTACACAAAGTAAATAGTGAGGGGCCAGGGATGTAGCTCAGTGATGCCACACCTGCCTGGCAAGCACAAGGTCCTGAGTTCGATCTCTGGTCCACACACACACACAAAAGTAAATAGTGAATTCAGACATGCTCATGTCCACATGTGCTTTTCTCTCAGTGACCACAAACAGATCAAACATGACCTAGGAAAGTTTTCAGATGACCCTGATAAATACATTGATGTCTTTAGGAGGCTTACTCAAACATATAAACTAGACTGGAAAGATGTAATGTTGCTTTTAAATCAAACATTGGCTTTTTTTTTTTTTGGTACCAGGGATCAAACTCAAGACGTTGTGCTTATGAGGCAGGTGGTAGAATCACTGAGCTAAATCCTCAGCCCAACATTGGCTTCTAATGAAGGCACAAGCAGGATTATGAGCTGCCATTACATTTGAGGATGAATAATATCTTGTTAATATTAGAAGGCCAAGGCCGGGGATTTAGCTCAGTGGTTTCGCTGCCTGCTGCTCAAGCGCAAGGACACAAGTTCAATCCCCGGTACCAAAAAAATATATATTAGAAGGCCAAAAGAGCGACAGCCGGGGAACAGCTGGTTCCTCCCAGAGCTCAAGAAACCCCTACACAAGATCCCTACTGGCCCACCAACCATACTGGAAATTGGAATAGGAGACATCTTCAGATGTGTATTCATGAGGGTATAAAAAGGATGAAACTAAGCCCTTCAATTATATTAGATTATCAACTATTCAACAAGAAGAAAAAAACCCTCTGCCTTCTTATATCACTTACAAGAGGTATTGGTAAAACATACATCCCTAGCTCCTGACTTGATAGGACAAATTGTTCTTAAAGACAAGTTTATTACACAGACAGCCCCAGATATTAAGAAAAAGTTGCAAAAGATGGCTTTTGCTCCAGATAGCTCACTTGATACTTTAATGAACATTGCTGCCTCAGCATTTTATAATTGCGAGCAGAAGGAGGTTAAAGGAAAAAAGCAGAGGAATGGAGAGAAGCCAACAGCCTTAACAGCAGCCCTTAAAATAATAGAACCTAAGTCTATTCTTGGAGCTCCAAGAAGAGCTTGACAACTACTAATCTCACCTGCTACCACTGGGGAAAACAAGGCCACCGTAGGAGAAACTGCCATAAGAGGCCCCCTGAGCCATGCCCTGATTGGAAAGGTAACCACTGGAAGTCAGATTGCCCTCTGAAGTGGAGGCCCCAGAGCTCAGATCCATCTTATCAGCTGGTCCAGTAAGACTGAAGGGCCCCAGGGCACTCTCTGCCTTCTCCCTCTGGCCAGACTGTCATCTCCACAGAGGAGCTCCAGAGAGGGAAAAGAAATCGGTCTACTGCTGGACACTGGTGGATGTCTCTTGGTCCTTCTCTTCAACCCTGGCCTTCCTTCCAGCCATCCTACATCAGGGAAAGGAATCACTAAAGAAGAAGTAACTTGTTATTTCTCACAATTCTTAGGCTGTAACTGGGATGGCTTTCTCTTCACCCATTTCTTTTTTTTTTCACCCATTCCTTGATTTTGTTTTTTTTTTTTTTTTGGTACCAAGGATCGAACTCTAGTCCTTGTGCTTGCAAGCAAGGCAGCAGCACCACTGACTGAGCTAAATCCCCGGCTTACCCATTCCTTTTTAATTATGCCTGAAAGTCCAGTCCCCATCCTGGGGAGATATATTTTATCTTGTTTAAATAGTGTAGCATATATACATCCAGGTCAGGTATGCTGCCTTCCCCTTGTAGAAATAGAAATAAATCCTGAAATATGGACAACTAAAAGTAAGATAAGTAGAACAATAAAAGCTACTCCTGTATAAATACATCTCAAAGATCCTAATACTACTATTTTTCCTCACCAGAGACAATATCCTATAAGGCCTAAAGTAAAAAAAAAAAGGATTATTGCCTATAACTGACAATTTAAGAGCATAAGGTTTACTTAAAGTCTGTAATAGCCCATGCAACACTTCAGTCTTGAGAGTACAAAAACCCAGTGGAGAATGGAGGTTGGTACAGAACCTTAGGTTAATAAATGAAGCAGTAGGGCCAGGGATTTAGCTCCGTGGCTCCACTGCCTGCCTCGCAAGCGCAAGGACCTGAGTTTGATTCCCTGGTAACAACAACAACAAAATGAAGCAGTAGTGCCAATCCACTTGATGGTACCTAACCCATACACTCTCCTCTCTCAGATCTTGGAAGATATCAGTTGGTTCTCAGTGTTGGATTTAAAAGATACCTTCTTTTGTATTCCTTTACATACAGATTTTCAGTTTCTTTTTGGCTTTGAAAATCCTCATGACCAGGCCTCTCAACTGACATAGACTGTGCTTCCTCAAGGATTCAGAGATAGTCCTCAGCTTTTTGGGCAAATGCTTTCCCATGACTTGGCACATTTTAAATGTTCCCAAGTCACAGTCTTGCAATATGTAGATGATATACTGTTATGCACCCCCTCAGAAGAGCTTTCTAGCCAAGGCACCTGTGTTCTGACAGGAGTTATAAGGTTTCTAGATCTAAAGCACAACTTTGCATCCTTGAGGTAAAATATCTGGGCCTTATCATATCTAAGGGAACCCAAAGGCTGAGGGAAGAAAGAATTAAACCACAGCCCAAGACTCTTAAAACAGCTAAGAGGATTCCTAGGAATTACAGGTTTGTGTCACCTTTAGATAGTGGGATATGGTAAAATTGCATGAGCCCTCTATCAGCTTATAAAAGAAGCCCAAAAGACAGATACTCTTTTATTTTTTTATTTTTTTAATTTTGTACCAGGGATTGAACTTGGGTCCTTGCACTTGTGGGGCAGGAGGTGGAACCACTGAGCTAAATCCCTGGCCCAGATACTCATGTTTTAACCTGTGAACCTGATTCCCAGACTGCATTCCAGAAGCTCAAATAAGTGTTTCTAAATGCCCTGGCACTGAGCTTGCTGATAGGACACCGTTTCAGTATATATGTTGATGAAAGGTGGGGCATGGCTTTGGGAGTGCTTACACAGAATCTGGGCCTGTTCAACAGCCTGTAGGGTATCTGAGTCATGAATTAGACATTGTACCAAAGGGATGGCCTGTGTGCCTTAGAGCTGTGGCTGCAGTAGCTCTCTTAGTGCCAGAGGTATCCAAGTTGAGTTTAGACAAAGATCTCATTGTACACCTCACAATGTGCTTCTAAAGGGAGCCTATGGCTATCCAACAACCAACTTCTTAAATACCAGGCTCTGATTCTAGAACCAGCCATTCAAATAAAGTCATGTTCCTCCTTAAACTCTGCCACTTTTCTACCAGAAAAGGAAGAAATTGAGACTGACAGATATAACTGTGAACAGATAATTCTCCACACATACACAGCAAGAGAAGACTTATTAGACACTCCCCTTACCCTGATTTGACTGTCTTCTGAGATGGCAGTTCCTTCATGGAAAATGGGACAAGAAAGACAGGATATACAATAGTGACTCTACATCAGACACTTGAAAGTTCCTCACTTACACCTGGGACTAGTGCTCAGCTAGCAAAACTCATAGGTCTGACCAGGGCTTTAGAACTCAGTAAAGGACAAAAAGTCAATATTTATACTGACTCAAAGTATGCTTTACTAGTATTGCATGTCCATGCAGCCATATGGAAAGAAAGAAATTATCTAACAGCCAATGGACCTCCTATAAAGTATCATAGATGAACTTTTATCATCTGTCTATAGGCTCTCCAAAGTGGCAATAATTCACTGTTGAGGACACCAAAAAGGAGCTGACAAAGTATCTCAAGGTAATCAACTGGCTGATGCAGCAGCAAGAGAAGCTGCTTGAGGGCCCCTCCTTCAGGGACCCCTGATCTGAAAAGGGTCCTTTGATCATACTCAACCCAAATATTCTCAGAAATCAAAGGGGCTCTCTCCCATAGGTGTCAGTTCCTTCCATCAGGTTGGTTATAGTCAGATGGTGGTAAATTCTTCCTTCCTGGTACTAGGCAATGGAAAATTAGTAAGTCTTTACATCAAACTTTTCACTTGGGGAGAGACAAGACACAGTATATGGCCTCAAAGTTATTCATAGGGAAGGAACTTTCTCAGACAATACAACAGATAGTTAAGACTTGTGAGCTTTGCCAGAAGACCAGTTCTCTTAACCAGACCATATCCCCTCCAGGTATACAGAGACATGGTAAATGGTAAATACCCTGGAGATTATTGGCAACTGGACTTTACACATATGCCAAAGAGTAAGGGACTTCAATACCTATTGGTCTGGGTAGATATTTTCACAAACTGGGTTGAGGCCTTTCCTTGTAGAATAGAAAAGGCACAGGAGGTGGTAAAGGTTTTGGTCTCAGAAATTATTCCCATTTGGACTTCCTAAAAGCTTACAGAGAGATAATGTACCTTCCTTTAAAGTTACAGTCACACAGGGTGTCTCTCAGGCACTGGGGATTCTCTGCCACCTCCGTAGTGCCTGGAGGCCACAATCATTGGAAAAGGTTAAAAAAATAAATGAGATCCTGAAGATATATCTTCACAAAATGGCTCAGGAGACTCACCTACAGTGACCTCACTTACTATCATTAGCCCTTATCAAAATAAGAAATACAAGGGGTCGGGGATTTAGCTCAGTGGTTCCGCTGCCTGCCTTGCAAGTGCAAGGACTGGAGTTCAATCCCTGGTACCAAAAAAAAAAAAAAAAAAAAAATACAAGGCTGGGGATTTAGCTCAGTGGCACAGTGCCTGCCTGGCAAGCATGAGGTCCTGAGTTTGATCCCTGGTACCAAAAAAAAAAAAAAAGAAAAAGAAAAGAAATACACCTCAACTACTAGGCCTCATTTCATTTAAAATGTTTTATGGACCTCCTTTTCTCACTAATGATTCTCTCTTTGATAGAGAAACAGATGCTTTACTAAAAGATGTCATTGCAATGGCTAAATCCCAGCAGATTCTTCAACAGCTAACAGAAGCTCTGCCTAGAGAAAGAAGAAATCTCATGTTCCAATTCAGATTTAGTACTCGTAAAGTCGCTCCCCTCATCATCTCCTTTCCTAGAACCAACTTGGGAAGGACCATACACCATGATCCTGTCGCCTCCATCAGCAGTTAATGTAGCAGGCCTGGACTCCTGGATACATCACAACCAACTCATTGCAGAGTGTGAGCTAACACCCAAATACTCTTTTGAACTCATAGAAGACTTAAAATTCTTGTTCAAATAGAAAACAAAGCCTTCAGATAAGTAATCTAGGGTGTTACTCTTAGCCCTATCACTAGTCACCTCACCACTTAAAGGAGAGTGCAATACCTTTCTAAGGTGGGCACAAGAGTATGCAGAATTGTTACAACAAACATCCTCCTAGATATGTGACCTGCTCCCCTTATGAAGTATATCAGGACTTCCTTGGTGGGCATCTCCACTTCAAGGAGATGATTAAAGTAAGCTACAAGACTGTTGATGACACATGAAAAAAATTCCATGGTTCATAGTTCAGCCCACAGTTACGAGGTAACTGAGTGGCCTATAAACTACATCCTTGGCATAATGAAGCTTTTTCTAACAATGCCACTGAAGGCTCTCTACAGGCTCTAGTAAAACCTCTATTAAATAGAAATAAGGGTCTGGGCCGGGGATTTAGCTCAGTGGTTTCACCGCCTGCTGCGCAAGCGCAAGGACCCAAGTTCGATTCCTGGTACCAAAAAAAAAAGAAAGAAATAAGGGTCTGATCGTGAGGGACAACAACCATAGATGTCAAGATGACTATTTTAGGATTTCGGATAATTATGTATGGTTAACCCCCACTACAGAACATCTTAGTAGAAAGCCCCCTTGTGTTGGGAACAGAAAAATCACTCCTCATTGGCCTAACTCTACTAAATACTTGGGGTGGACACCCCTGAGCAGTGTATACACATAATAACTTTACAGGCCAAAGACTGGTTAACAACAAACTGGTTTAATTGCCCTGGAATTAGATGAGACTCCCTCAATGGCACTCAATGGTCCTGTGGAACCAATTTGTGATTCTGGCTACCTTCTAGATGGATAAGGAAGTACACCCTGAGATTTGTGCAGTTACAAGACAGTGTCCAAAGCATCAACAAACCTGCAAACTTACCCCACTTGCAACATCAATGGTCTAGGAGTGTGTTTCACTAGTATGATCACTTGGCTTCTGTCTTTATCCCTTCCCTAGAGTTAGAAAATGTCATACAACACATTGAGGTCTTAATGATACTCAGTAGGCCTTAAACAACACCTCAGCTAGTCTCTCTCTCATAAATGTGTATACATTCCTGATCCTTCCACTAATATCTCAATAGCTGTTGTCAATAGCTCAGTAGCTAATATCTCAAACAACAAGTTAATGCCATGTCAGATTCTGAAATCCCCTGGATCTTCTCCTTATCCTCTTAGTGGGAGGCTGGTTCCTCCTAGTAGAAACATTTGTTAGTTATATTCATAGCAATCTTGTTGATCGTATTATTTAACCCATGCATTCTTTTTTTTTTTTTTGGTACAGGGGATCGAACTCAGGACCTTGTGCTTGCGAGGCAGGCGCCGGAACCACTGAGCTAAATCCCCGGCCCAATATTCCCTACTCTTAACCTCCATTGTTCCTAGAATTCATTCTTCAATTTTAGAGGATATGAACTTGGCATTTCAGATATCTAACAGGTATCTAACAGTTTGGGAGTTTTTACTCTTTCCCTTATTTATTTAGATTACTTTGGAAGGTCCTATATCCTTTATTTATTTTTTTTGGTACCGGGGCTTGAGCTCAGGACCTTGCGCTTGGGAGGCAGAGAGGTCCTGTATCATCCCTAGATCATACACCCTATATCAATGCTGTAGGAACAACATTCAGAGAGTAGAAAAGCCAGGGTAGCTGGAGCAGTGTTGGGGGGGTGGTGTCAGAGAGGCCTGCTGCTGAGTGGAGATGGCTTAGGGGGAAGCCACAGGTGGGGGCAGCTGCCGAGTGCAGGCTGATCAGAGAGGCTGGGGTGTGTGGATGGTGTGAGGGTCGGGGAGGGTCTGCTGCTGGGCTAGGAGTGTGCCTAGCAGGGAGCGTGCGTGTGTGCACACACACACACTCAGCTAGAAGGTTGAGGCAAGGGCAGACGCCAGTCTGGGGGCTATCCTATCCCACCCACCGACTGGAACCCCAGAACCTCTGAATGAAAAATGCTGGCCTCTGCAGATGGTGGGAGTTGTTACATTTGCATTCCAATTCACTTTAGAATCTCTGACAGAGGCCCAAGCAGGTGGTTAATGGTGGGCTCAGACTTCCAGGTGGTAATGTAGGAGGGTCCTGGGCCAGGAAGCCCTGAGCAGGGCCCAGGCCATCCATGCAGGGGTCAGTGGCCAGCGCCTTCCCTTCCGTCTGCAGGCTGCTGATACGCGTGAGGAAATCCTGGCTGGTTCCTGTGGGGGTGAGCTGGTGGGGGCAGCTTTTAAAGCGACTGCCCAACCCGTCCTGCTTGCCCACCCCGTGCCTGCATCTCGGAGTTCACTCCCCTCCCCGGCAGTTCACTCCCCAGCAGCTGCTACAGCAACTTCTGATTTCTGTTCTGGACAGCAGTCCTGCCGGCCACTGCCAGCCATGGCAGAGCCCCTGGGACACCTCCTGCTCTGCCTCCTGGCCTTCTGGCTGTCAGGCTCCAGCTTCATCTTGGGGCAGAAGGTAAGTTTGAGCCTGTTAGTGGGGCGGGGGCACCGAACGCAGATGGAGCATAGGTCTTGGGATACAAGGAGCCACTAATGCCTGCCTGACCTGTGTGGACCCAGTAGCTGGGCTGTTATGCCCACACCCACAAGCTGAGGCCTCACCAGAGTGCAGGTGTGTGCTCAGCCTGCCTCCTCTAACCATGCCTGGCCCAGCCAGCCATATAGTGTGAGCAGCTGTCTGGGGTCCCCAGCCGGTGAGTCAGAGGGCACAGAACCAGGCCCATCTTTCCTGTCCTTACCTGGGGGTCCACAGAGGCTCGGATCTGGGTGCTTCTGTCTACCCAGGACAGCCTGGAGGTGGAATGAGTCCCCACCTTCAGTGCCGCTGGGGACACAGTGGCCAGGGATGATGAGCTCCAGCCTCCAAGCTACCGCTGACCAGGCCTGGGCCAAGCCTTCTGCACCCTCACAGCCTCTGGGCAGCACATCTTGTTCTTCCAGTGAGGAAGCTGAGGCCCAAGGGTGAGCGAGCCCAGCTATTCCCACTCCGGAGCCTGCTCCAGGCCTTCCCCTGCGAGTCCCCATCCAGGCACTCTGGTGGCGGGCAGGAGCCTGGTGTGCAGCTTCCTATGGCAGAGACCCAGTTCTTGATCAAGCTTTGCGAAGGCCCTTACACCCTGAGTGTGGAGACAGAGTCCCCTGGTTGGGACCTGCCACCAAGCGAGGGAACTTGTCCTGTGAAGGCGAGTTCATCTGCTGCTGCTTTTTTTTCTTTCTTGGCTCATGTTTGGAGTATATGATTACTTTCATTGTGGGGAATTGGTGCATGTGTATGACACATCACAATTCTTTTTTTTCCCCTTCCCGTCCACTCCCAATTAAAAATTTTTTATTTTATTTTTGCCAGCATCAGATTTATTCAGTTTATGTCTTTATCAAGTTAATTGTCATCAACACAGATTTATAGCCAGACTAACAGTCAAAAACCTATAAAACAGGGCTGGGGATTTAGCTCAGTGGTTCCGCCGCCTGCCTCACAAGCGCAAGGGCCTGAGTTCGATCCCCGGTACCAAAAAAACCCCCCAAAAACCTATAAAATACATAAGACAATTATACTAAATCAAGTTCCACCCTTAGATACATTGGCCATGCTGGATTACAATTAACATTCTCTCCCTCTTTTTTTTTTCCTACTGTCTTTTTTTTTTTTGGTAGGGGTACCAGGGATTGAACTCAGGACCTTGCACTTGCAAGGCAGGCAGTGGCACCACTGAGCTAAATCCCCGGCCCTCCTATTGTCTTTTATTTTGTTCTTTATTTATATATTGAATTTCTCATATAAGACAAACCATGCAGTATTTAAGCTTCTATGTCTGATTTACTTCACCTAAAATGGTCTCAAGGTACACCCATTTTTGTACAAATGACAAATTTATCCTTCTTTATGGCAGAGTATAATCCATTGCATGTATCACTGTAATACAACTTTAACTCTCTCAGGAAGGTACCTAGAAGGGGAATAGCTAGGTTGAATGCAATTTCTAGTTTTCATTTTTTAAGGAATCTCCATACTGATTTCCATAGAGGTTGTACCAGTTTACACTCCCACCACCAATGTAGAACCCCACCTCCAGCTTCTCATCTGCGTCTTGAGTCAGCCACCACTGTCCCTGTGGCACTAATGGGCAGCCTGAGGTCCAGAAGGTACCTAGCCAGGCCTTGCCAAGCTAGTCCCCGGGTCCCCTACGGACACTGGGCTCTTTGTCTTGTACTTGTGGCCCTCAGAAGGATGGCAGAGAGAAGGGCCTCACAACTTCAGGGCCAGGCAGGGGTAGAGCAGTGGATGTAAGATTGAGAAGGTGAGAGTGATGTAGGAGAGCCTCGGGTTCCAGGGCTGTGCTGAGCCCTGAGGTAGGAAACTCCCTCCCTCAGTTTCCTCGTGTGCACAGTGCAAGAGAATTTCACAGGCCTTGCCCTTCACATTCTGGCAATGGGGACCGAGGCAGTGAGAAGTCCAGGTCTTTTCCTCATCAGAGACCTGTAGTCCATTCTGGGGCTGGGGCTCAGCCAGCCTAGGCCAGGGAAAAGAAGGCCTGGGGCCCATGGTGCAGCAGTGCTGGGCTCATCCCACACTCTCTCAGTGCCCCCAGTACCCGGTGTGGCATGAGAACCATGGGGACTGTGGGGACCAGTGCCTTCCCCTGGGCCACAGAGCAGCAGAGGCAGAGAAAGCTTCCTGTGCAGGGGTCTTGGCACTTGTCCACCCAGCAGCCTGCTACCCAGCACCTACTCATTGCAGGACACAGACCTGTGGTCTTCAGCACGGGTTCAAAGAGAGGGGGGCACTGGCCAGGACCCAGCCCTGGCCCTGCTTGCTCTGTGCTCTGACCAGGGTAAGGGAAGCAGTTTGGGGTGCCCTTCCCCTTGGAGGGTGGTTAGATTCTGGGCTGTCAGCCCTAGAAAGTCTCTAGGAGCCTGGGCCCAGCTTGGGGGAATTTCTTCCCTTCTCCCCAACACACTTAGTATTCCCTTTCTCCTCGGCATCCTCCAGCAGAAT